ACAAGGTGTGCGACTTTGATGGATGTGAACGCAGAAGCCAAGAAGACTCTGATGTTATAAGACTGCCATGTTTCCATATGTTTCACAAGCAATGTCTTCAAAAGCAGATTAATGATAAAATAACAGATGTTCTCACTGTACCAAGCCGCTTCTCAAAAAAGTAAACTTCCTTACATCGTCGTTCAATGAATCTCTACTTTCACCAACCTCCACCAAAGCAAAAAGTACATCAAATGATGATGATAATAGCAACACTAATGACGACGACCACGATGATGAAATTCCTGAAGTCAGCAGTCATGACCCTCAATACTATGAATAACCACAATGGAATGCATTTATAGAAAACATGCTTGATACCTTCCAAGTTCCACAGCCCTCTATGTATTCAGCTCAACGCACTTCAAATTGTCAACAACTTCAGAACACTCAGTCCCAAAACAGTTCTACTCAGCAAAATCAACAAAGCTCTCAACAACCTCAGAGAAGCACACCTAACACTTCAACAGTCATTACCATCAATATTCAAAATGGAAAGTTCTGGTTCCTTCTTGGCAGAAATATATCACAGTCCACTCTGAATGGTAGAAATGGATCAAATGCTTGTACTTTTATTGCCCTTCTTCTTTCCAAATTTTTTGTTATAAATAGATTAACTCTTCCATTTCCTCGACAAAGTCTGTCTCCAGTATGGCAGTTAATAATGTTTTCGTGCATCACAGAAGGCAATAAAATGCATGATCAAGTTACAGGTGGTTGTCCTGACCATTTTGCTGTTACTGAAGCAGTTGCATCACACCCTTTATTATCAGGAGGAGGAAATGAGGTGGAATATTCATTTGACATTGAATTTGTTCATGGAAATCCTGCTGTACCACAATCTTCTCTTGCCTTTTTCTTGCAAAGACTTTTACAAGAATCTAACATAGCTGCCATCGTGATCATCAATGCCATGTCCATTTGCTTTGTTGGAAAAGAAGACAATATTCTCTTCATGGATAGTCATCAACACGGGAACCATGGTGCGCTTTTTGGCTACAGTAATCTGGCATCATTAGAGAGCTTCCTGGTAAACATAAAGCAACTTATGAGTTGTAATGTCAACATGTGCAGTATTACCTTTGYAAAATTCAATTAAAAGGTTGGGCCCGCTGTAATTGGCTCTGCTGTTGCGGTGTCCCTGCCACTTTCTCATTATTGTRTTTGCATGTTATTTATTTATGTTATGTACTCATGTATTTACAGATGTTATTCTTGGCGAAGCTAATAAAATAAAAAAATAAAAATAAAATTTAACTTACAAATGTATTAAGCGAGGCTTGAAAACTGTGCTATTTCTGTATGATCATTCAAGGTTGAAACTTACCTTCTTAAGATATCATGTAAAAGCACAAACGGAAGAGTTTTGAAAGGAAATGAGATTTTGCAGAAAAATATGTGTTTTATGGAGAATATAAGTTAAGAGTAAAATGTGAAATTTAAGGTTATAATTCGATGTTTTTCACATTAAATTACACAATTTCTACTTGCCTTGAAGCTTGCTTGCCTGTAGTTCTTTCGCAGATTGAACAATTAAGATGTTAAATAAACTTYGTTRCCGATCAAAGCCCGAAATCCGAGGAAAAATACGAAGAATATCCTGTCCGCCATTTTGTTTTCGAAAAAGCCACGCATGCGCAGATGTTTGACCGCGGTGTTGCCCTGGCATCGGCCGGTCAAATATGGATTTTGATTGGCTAAGATTTTTCTCAATTTTCATTGGTTGCTCATTTATTGTGACTTTTTGACACAGAAAAATTGAAGAAACAATTCAAATGTAAAGTTGATGGAAATTTTTAAACTAAAATGCCTTAGTTCAGCGTCTACAAGATGCTAAAACTACAAATAGAAAAAACATGAAGTAGTCTAAGACAAAAAGAAAGCGCAAAAGACTTTGCATATCATTACAAAATATTTTTTGCAATATTTCAAAGACCTTCAAACGAGATACCGTTTAGAAATTATTGTAAATGATATCTATATAAGTGTAATAAAATTACATGCCGTTCTTGGCTTACTTTTATCGCCTTGTACATCTGATCGTCGTTCGTTCTCGGCGATAGTGGGCACCACTGAAATGTTATGTTTGGATTTTTTTATTTATCATTAAGCTTATATTACTCACTAAAGATGAATATCTTAGATCAAGGCGGAAATATAAGTTGTGTAAAAAGAATTTGGGGCATGCTTTTTAATCTTGCGCAATAGAGTTCAAAGTACAATTGACTCAGCAAGATGCCTAGCTGCTATTTTTGCAAAATGTTTTTCAAACTTTAAAAACAAAACTTTCAAAAATCTTAATGTTTGATACCTTCTAGCTTAGATAAATTGGCGTATTCAAACTTTCTAGACTTTCTAGATAGATTTGTAGATATATCAGCGAGATAAGCCATGAAAAAGGACTAAAAAGACATCAATTGACATGCTTGAACTTCTTCAACAAACATTGACGTTTTCTTTTAAGCTTAGAAGTTACCTTATAAATTTGAACAATTCGCCAGTCTTCAGAAGCCTAAGCGACTTTTCAAATTCCTGTTTTCAGTCATCTCGATGAGCTGAGTCGATATCTCTTGAATTTTTATACAGCTGCTTTGGTCTTCGACGAATCCATAACAGTCAACAATTCAAAAAGAGAGTTCACAAATCCGCTGTTTTTTCCTCTTGATCTTTAACATGCCTTTAAGCTTCCTGGAACATCAGCTCTCCTTGTTGTCAATTACTTGAAGCGAAAAGGAAGTCAAGACTGTTTATTTTAGGGCCACAGTTTGCTAAACTGGATTGACAAACCCTCAAAAATGACTAAGTTTTTCCTTCTCTTTCTTTGTTGAACAAGTTTTTCAGGACGTGCATTCAAACACGGATCGGAATCTAATGAAATTGGCGGGAATCTTCCCAGCTTGCATTAAAATGTGTGAAAATTAGCTTTTCAGAATGTTTTGAAAAGTTGAAAAAAGTTAATTGTTGCTCCGAACATTATCTTTTCCAAAACCAAATAGCGCCTGCATTCAGCGGTAATCCACACTAAACACCCACTGAGAGTGGGTGTCACGTGACCGGCCAATGYCAGGGCTATCTCTGTCCGCCATTTTGAAAAAAGCGAGCAGAGTAGCCCTGGGAACGAGGTTGGTGAATCGATCCACAGGTAACCCAACTGCC